CCCATACCCACACCCACCCACACCCACACTCACACCCACACCCACACTCACACCCACATCCACACCCACACCCACACCAACACCCCACACCCACATCCACACCCACCCACCCACACCCACACCCGACACCCACACCCACACCCCACACTCCACACCCACATCCACACCCTTCGAGGAAATATCTTATTATGACCTGTTTAGAACAGAAAATAACAGTTACGTTCATTATTGGCTTGTGAAACAGTTGGTAGATATCGAACATCAAATTTAACTGAAGACATTGTTGCTTCGACAACGACTCCGTGAGAATACGAAATGAACTTCTGTTTGTTCTTGTTTCAAGCAGATGAGTTAAAGTTACACGATGAATGTCGAAGCGATAACAGTGAAGTAGAACGAGTAGTAGAGGACAAATTTCCAGAACGATTTGGTAAACAACCAAAACCTAATATATAAAAATTTTGAATAGGTATGAATGGATGAAGACATTTGAGTAGAGAACAATAGAAGGAAAAATGAGCAAAGATAGAACTCGTTATCGACTTATTACTAACAATGGAGGTGTGTGTATTGTTGAGCGAAAAAGTGGCACATGTTCGGGTCAAATGAAAGCTCTCAACACCAAACTAACAAGGTTAAAATATTAGCGGCCGTTGGGTTGCCTAGAGGGAGATATTTAACTTTTAAGTGTAGGTGTAAAAATGAATCAGGAATGGTTTTCTCCACTATTATAAGGACAAAACATAGTGTTGTTCGAGCCGATTATAGGGTTTGTAGGGTCCCTCTTTCATATGGCCCGAACAACACTATGTTTTGTCCTTATAATAGCGGAGAGAATTTTTCTAGTGATTGATAGAAAATGCCGTTTCCATGACCTACAGAAAAAACTCACCCTACTATTGTAAGAACAGAACATAGTGTTGTTCGGGCCATATGAAAGAGGGTCCCTACAAACCCCGTAATCGCCCCGAACAACACTATGTTTTGTCCATATAATAGTGGAGAAAACCTTTCCTGATTCATTTTTACACCTACACTTCAAAGTTAAATATCTCCCTCTAGGCAACCCAACGGCCGCTAATATTTTAACCTTGTTAGTTTGGTGTTGAGAGCTTTCATTTGACCCGAACATGTGCCCCTTTTTCGCGCAACAATACACATACCTCCGTTGTAAGAGTAAAAAAAATAAAAAATCATTTCAACTCTTCTCAAATGAAAAGGTTTGCTCTGAATATGAATTTCTTTTTTTGCTGCTCTCTCTCAAGGTTCGTTAAAGAAAATAACAATGCTCGAACTTACCCATTAAATTGATTTCTATCATTTGAGGACGGAGAGAAATATCAACGTAACGATTGTAAGGAGCCCATCGATGAAGATAATTTTTTTTCAATTCATACGCAAGAGAGATCAAAGCGGATTGATAATCATGCACGTGGTAAAACTCTCTCGATAATCCATCGATCGAATTCATTCCAAGTGAACGAAGACCATGAGTGACACGCGTTTCAGAAGCCATTTCGTAGGTCACTACCGATTGATCTTAAATTCGATTGAACTTTTTGGCTAGTAGATCTAATTTATTGTTGGTTGCACGAAGTTCTTCAATCAGAGATTGTTCAAAAGGTGTTATTGTTTTTGTTGTATCTGGTTGTTTAGTAATGATCGATGGAACGCGTATCACTGAAGATGTTAAAATAGCCTATGGCTCATTGTTTTTTTCTCTTCTCTTCTTCATTGTCATCATCTTCCTCATTCTCGTCGTGGATAATCGTACATCGATCGATTTCAAGAATAATTTGGTTATGATGTTCTGTTGATTAGTTTTTTCTTTGAGGATGATGCTGCTTTCTGTCGTAGATTCTAAAATGAAATAAATTGGTTGCAACGTGTGAAGTCGATATCGATATCGATATAATATTTTTTTCTAGTTTAGTATAGATAAGAAGACAACTGGTCAATATTTACTGAATCTATTTATGTTGTTTTTTGGTCGATGATTTCTAAAATTGACGCAGCCATTACAGTGCTTCCGATGATCTTGGATCTTCAATTATGTCTTTTTTGGATTTCTTTTGATTTGTTTTAGATGATGTTGCGATGGCAAATGCGGCATTATTCATATTGAACATTTCTATTCGTTTATTGATTGTTTCTTGTTCCAGTTGGTGCAATCGAACACCCTTGAATCTCTTCTTTGATGATGATAATGTACGTAAATCGCAAATACCATAACGTTTATCATCAGAATGATAGAAAAAAAATTGGTCTTGATCGCAATCAAGTTGAACAGGGTGGGGTGTGGACTTTATCCATAAACTGGATCAAAATGTCCAGAGTAGTGACGGGTTTGCTGGTCGTTCATCTCTTGGTAACACCGTCCAAAAATTCAATCATCTCGAATGATGCCATTTGTCCTTCGCAAGCAAAACTAAAGGCCAAGTTCCAAATACCTTCCTGGTTCGAAAAAGCATAGAAAAAAAACAAATACAAGAACAAAAGTGTCATCTAGCTTAGTTAGAAAATCAATATAACCAGCAGGTCACCAGCAAATATGAAAGATAATGCGAAATAAATTAATATATGATAAGAATAACAATACTTAATTTGTACCAAGAAATATTGACATAAAATAATGACGTGAAAAACAATGAATCCACAGAAAAGAAAATTAATTAGAAAGTAGAATCGAATGTGTTGCTCACTTATGTTCGGTTTACCTTCTACTGCTAGAAAAAGACGAATCTGTTAATTGCATGAGAACAATCGAAATTTCTAGAAAAACGAACATCGAAAACGGTAGAAGACTGAAAAAACATACATACAACCAACAGTATTAACAACTCAAATAAACTTCAACTAGACGCTACCAAGAAAAGTATTCTGTATCTAGAAAATAAAATACTAAATAATTCTAACATGTCAAGTACGATTGTGTATGATATATAATAGTAAACAAAAACAAAGAGAGTAAATAGACACAAATATTTGGTCAACTGTAGCGATCAATATTTCATGTATTGATATGAGAAATGAAAGAGAGCGCTAATGGAGTTTCCTGCACATTAAGACACATTACTATCTATAGTATGTAGGTGTTCAAAAAAAAGATGCATTTCGTGTCTAATATATAACTAAACTAGACATTAGACGTGTGAACCGTTTTACAAGATAGATGGAATTTTTTACAATGTAGATTTTTGAATTGTTCACCATTGAGTTAAAAAAAACTTTTCCCTCCATAAATATATTTTCATATTAATAATTGTTATTACATGCGAACTTCTCTTATTCTAGAAAACATTAATAAACATTTGAGATTTTTTTTTCGCTTCTCTGAAATAAATCGGTGGGTGTGAGTGTCGTTTACAAGAAGCACACACCCACACCCTTTTGCCTTTATACCGACTTATTTATTGACTGTGTGTCACGAATCTTCATCGTGGTTGTGTATTTTTTTGTTTAAACAAAAACCTGAGAAATAAATGCAGTATGATAAATGCAACGATACAGCAAATTCGTTGAAGTAACCATACATACATAAAACGTTTTTCATCTACATTTTATACGAAACTTCGCGTATGTTCTTTTTAAATGCATTCGAGACGTCTTCCAAATTTTCTTTCTTTCTGTTCCATTATAACTAAGGGGATGAAAGGAAAGAAAAGAAAACAACCGCACGTTTCGAAGCAAGGAAGAGAGACACGGGTAAAAATACCAATACTTTGATGTTATTGTTGTTACACAAGATAACTACCGTATGTATGATCCTAGTACGAGACTGAAACATAGGTTGCCACAAGTTGCAGCGGGACCGCTGTGCATAAAGGTGGGTGATGGTCTCCTGCTCATCCACACCAATACCTAATACATAGTTTTATTCAAAATGAATTTATGAGAGTAAATTTAGCTGCAGAGTACTAAGTTTGTAATACTAGATTCTACAATGGCATACTCAATGTAATGAGCGTACTTGCATAAAATACACAGAGTACATAACAGTGCATGGTAGTATTTGATAGCACCATGTATGGATATCAAGGCATAGACAACTGTATTTTGTATTTATCAGGGGAGAAGCATGAAGATATATTTTGATCAGAATTCCTGACATCTGAATGTTGTTAAAAATGATCATGATCGCCATTGGAAAGATGACTTTGACGAAAGGAATTCCCACATTTGGAGTTTATTAAAGTGATCATTGCACCAGAATACATTTTGAATTTGTATTTGTGCAAATCTCTAAAGACCCAAATATTCAGTTTGTGCTAAAACCAGAAAATTGCTACTTCAACACATCGCACATGATTGTTGCTCGACAGCGAAATGCTCTATTTTCGAGATTTCACCTATTTCATATATCAAAATCCAATAGATCGATTGTTGTTTTCATTCTAAATCTGATACATCACCAACATTCATATTTCACTGACTTTTCAGTCTGAGATACCCAAACATAATATACATGAACTAAAATGCTTTCATATCAATTTTGGAAACGTTTTTCTTCTGTTTCTTCCTTATGTAAAAATAATTGAAAAAAAAACAGAAGTAGGACACGCATTTAATATTCTCCTACAAAAAGAAAGAAGAGGAATACAATGCGTTATCTAAACAGAAAAAAAAAACACTACAACGTGATACTAACTATTTGTGATATAATACAATCAAATGGTCTCATGAAATACTAGAAATTCTCTATTGTGAAAAATCTTTTACACCTATCAGAGAAGATGATCCCATGGTGACTGTATCTTCATAAGTATCCATTTATATTAGTGATGTCTTTAGTTTATTAACAAGAAAGTTGATTGATAAATGGCAATAACGAATAGAAAAACATAAGCATCAGATCGCACAAGATTTGTATTCTATCATAATAATGATACATGCCCTACATGAAAATTTCACCAACCTACACAAAAAAATATAATCAAATGAGCAAGAAAACTTATTTTGTCGAAAGGTTTCTTGAACACTTACAGATTTGGTTGAATGATTATAAGATAAAAATCTTGCACAATATGTAGAATAGCTAAATATGCGCTACGGCAATGATTTATACGATAGAGTAAACCATAAACAGCTTGGGATGAAACTGTTGTTGATGAACCATACAGAAGGTATGGATATGGGTGCAAGTGCGTGGGTGAGTGAGTTCAGTGAAGACTTGAAACCTGCACTATATTCACACACCCACACCTTCCAATTAAGTCCTCAACATATACAAAAAACTCGAAAAGGGAACAGTTGTTAAATATACTCCAACAAATGTATTGGTGTCAATGTCAATGTTTTGGTGAATAAGGTACGTATCCTACTATGGTTTTTTTCATCAATCATCATCTTCACTTTCGATAATTCAAATAAAAGTAAAGATATCGTTCAGGGTGTAAATCACGAGTTAAACATTCTTGAAATGAATAATATCGATTAATATAAACCTCTATTAAATCGATTGGACCAATAGCAAAATCATCGTCTACTTTTGAACTATAACGATTAGGTAGTTAAATCATTGTAGTATTTATATTGAATGGTGATTGTCAATCAAATGTTGATGGGATTCGAAGAAATTTTATGTCAGCTCTTGATCTTACCATAATGTCATACTTAATATTTTATCTCTTTTCATAATCACGAACGAGAGAAAAACAATTACTTAAAGCAAATAATTGTTGATAATATCTTAAAATTTTAAATCCAGGTTGGTCAACACTAGCATTGGTTGTACAATTCAGTGAAAAATGAGGATCAAGCTTTGGAATATTTTCAAATAAAATTTTTACTGTAAAATTTGTATAACGTAATGCTTTAACGAGACGAATATGTAAAGAAACACTTGGCATTTGAGCACCGAATGACTCAGTAAATGATAAATACATAAATATATCAATTTCACCATTGACGTGTGTTCGAATTGCATCAATGGTTGGTTTTCATGCTTCTTCAACACATTCAATAATACCAATCATACCAACAGCTATTCCATGACGACGAAGTGTTCCAGATGAACTCTAAAAATTCAACAATTAAATTTAAAGTTATATTCAACTTAAACAAATTATGTTACTGATTGTACCATGTTATTCTTAATCGATGAAAATACATAGTTTATTTTTTTCAAATCATCGATCCAATCTTTTACCGCTTGTCATTCTTTCGTGTCACAAAATTTTTTTTGAATCATATCATTTATGAATTGTTCAATTCGTTCAACTAATGTCGTTTTCTGTTGATTTTCATGTGCTCAACAATCGAACAAGTTTTTCAACATTTGCATCCTCTTTTTCATCTTTTTTTATCATTTATTGTCATCGTCATCTTTATTTTATGTGCTTTAATGCATCATAAGTGAAAAGAATATTTTGACTTGAAAATGGTGCAAAGATGAACGGTTCAACAGCAACAGGTGGATGATTAACTAATGATACTTGTGTATCATCATAGATCAAAATTTGTTGTTGAATAAGTAGATGAATAAATAGTTTCTTGATATGGATCAATTATTCTTATTGAACTCCAACCATCTTCTGTGATGCTCAAGAGTTCATCTTTTAGTAGATCAGGTGAAGAGTGAGTAAAATTAGCAGTAAATGTTGGATAAATATTAATAAATGGTGATCACTCTCGCCTAAAAGTTAAATGTTGAATATTTTGATAATAATGAAACGAAATATTTGTACTAAATTCATAAATAAAACGAGCACCCTGTTTAATAGCAAGAAGATAAGCAATGATTCTTGGATTCTTTGAACGAAAAATACTCTTAGATTGTCCTTCAGGATTTAGAAAAATAATATTTGTTGTTTTGTTGAATATAGGAATCGATTGGTTATGATTTTCAATGATGATGATAAAAATATTTGGTTGATGTGGAATAAGGGATTGATCTAATCATGAACATTAGCTAAAGATACACCAGTGGTAGCATGAAACGTTATTCAGATTTAAAACTCTTAGATGATAGTCATTTTAAAAAAAACTGCAAAGTATTGATAGTTAGTACGATGAAGATAAATGATATAGCGGCTGCAATAATGGAAATATATCGTATGTTTATCATATTGTAGAAATCAAAGACGAATATAATTGAATGATCATCGAATTTTCTTTCAAGAATTTGTAATTGTTCGTACTAAACTTCACTTCATAAAAATCTATGAAAAGTAAACGACAGAAAAGTACTTGTGTAACTATTGTTTTCTTTGTTGTAAAATTGACATACAAAGGGGAAAAGGATTTGCTGGTAAATTACAATCTTGAGAAAAAAGAAAAAGAATAGTTTTTTTATTATTATTATTATGCTTGGTTGAGTATATAATTAATGCCCGTAGACCTTTTAAGACATTATTCATGAAAGTAGAAAGAGGTGCTAAAGGGAAAGATGTAGGGGCCAACAAGAAAAGGAGAGTCAGGAATAAGAAAAGAAAACAAAGACAAAAGAGAGACAAGAAACAGAAAGAAGGGGGGAACGAAAGAGCGTGATAAAACAAAGCGAAACAAATCAACAACTCTATGGTAGGAAGAAACATTATGTTAGGATGCACTGAGGTTGACGAGGACGAAGAGGAAATGAATGTGAGAATCAAGTAACACGATCGAGCTTAATAGTATGAGAAGGCTATCCGAACGTACGGGTTTAAATGGAGAGGTACACATATTGGGAGGGGTCGGGCTAAGCATACTCGTAGACTCTTAGAAATCATTTTTGTTTCATAGAAACGTCGGAGGAAACGAAGAAAATATATCGAGTTCATCTTTGGGTATAAGAGGAATAGAATCCGTAACGTTGTTTTCAAACCACCTGAGATATTGCTCGATACTCGGGACAAATTGGATGTGGGGTGTGGGTGTGGATGTAAATGATAAGAAGAGTAACACTTACACCCACACTCCGCATAAATTCTATCGATAATTGTACTTGAAGTGAACTTATGCAATCATTTATTTTCTTGAGTAGATTTTGTTGTACGAAAGGTGAACATGACCCAAACATATTGAATTAATAAAAACAAAAGGTCGAATGACATTTTTCTGAGAAACTTTAAGATGAAGATGATTTTTAAGACTACTAATAGAGAAACTCAAATAGCACACATCCTTTCACAAACTAATTTATTTGCAATAAGATTTCAAGTCTTATGTTCCGATCACAATCATGAATATAGAAATTAAAAATCATATCTTAATACGAACTTTACTAACTCAAAAACCCTTGACTTAATTTAGTAACAGAAAAAGAAACTTGTTATACGAATCCATGCTAAATAGGGTGGATGTGAGTGTTGGTATATATGTGTTGATGTGAGTATGCATGAGGTTAAGCGAGACGGACACACATCCACACCCATACCATATAATTTTTCATATTTCTGATTATTAATTTTCAGTTTTATTCAGTCCAAATTCAAAACTTGGTAAAGAAATATTGAATCATGTTCAACAAAACTGAAACAAAAGTACTTTAAGCAGATGCAGAAGGTAAAGTCTACATATTAGCAGCTGTTTATTTCATAGAAAGTGTTTTTATCAAGGGGGAAAAAGCGAAATTTTCAGAGTGCTTACTCCCACCATACTCCCACCGTACTCCCATTGTACTCCCACCGTACTCCCATTGTACTCCCACTGTACTCCCACCATACTTCCACCGTACTCCCATTGTACTCCCATCGTACTTCCATTGTACTCCTACCGTGCTTCCGCCGTACTCCCATCGTACTCCCACTGTACTCCCACTGTACTCCCACTGTACTCCCATTGAACTCCCACTGTACTCCCACCGTACTCCCGTTGTACTTCTTCCGAATCCATTTGATTTTGCTTTATAGCATCTGTCTTTACTACACCTTAACTATATTTTAACAGATGAAACATAGCGTTTCCATGCGCTACTTAGAAAAATTTCAGATGAAAGTAAAATCCATGTATTTCTAAAAATTATTTTTTGCAGCTGCATCCGTACAACTTGTAATAATGAATGTGAGTTGCTGGGAATTCATTATAGCATCGTAAAAAGAGTACCTTAATATGATGAAAACTAGCTTCTTTGTTTCATACGCATGCTTATAAGAGTGCTGTCGTGAAAATAGTTACTGTTTTCAACAAGTGAATCTCGTCGAATGAAACGTAATATATATGAAGAACATTCATTTAATTTTTTTTCTTAAATCATTCATATTTTCTTATTGATTCATCCACAGTTTGTAGAAAAAAGCCTGCAGTTGCAATTCTCCATAGTGAAACTTGGATTGGTACGAGAAAAAAAGACAACGCGACTGTTTCGAAGTTTATATAAATAAAATCAAACAGACTATGTAGTATCTATAAACCATTTCTTATATGTATATAACTTTATTTCTAAGAGCCAAATTTATCACCTACATTCTTAATCAATGAAAAAATTGCTATTTAATAATATTACTAATAAAAAAAATGAATACAACAATAAAATTCTTTGTAATAGAAAAATAAATAACACATATGATTAAAGTCTCAGATATAAATAAACATATAACATAAAAAAATCTAAGTTTCTTTAAATTGCACTCGTTGAAGACGATCAGACAACAAGTGTGCTTGCCTTTCTTGCATGCACCAGCTTGCTGTAGCTTTATGCAAAAACAGTGTTTTATTACGTATATAAACAGAAAAGTATTTATGTACATTGGCTGTTGACACTGATTGAACTAATCGCAGTCCTGAAATATAATAAACAGATGTTAGAATAATTTTAAAGAAAGATTATTTTGCATTTGAATAATACAAAACCCTTTAATATATATGACTTCGGAGTAGCTGTAGTGACAGTTTTTCTATTTAAAAAAATTTATTTCATAAGATTCGATTGTTAGATGAAAACAAGTTCTTATACAATATTTTGCCATTAATTTTAAATATTCAGTAGTAGAGTTTTCGAAGTAATCAATCATTTTTAAATTGTTTCTTATGAATAGCATCTCATTATGTGCTTGTAACAGTATTAGCTTTAGACTTGTATTTAAATGAGCAATAAAAAAATTGAAATGAGTAGTAATCAAATTGAGCAATAAAATATACTGAATGAGCAGTAAGATTTTTTATCAGCAATACATATATTGTACAAGAAATTTATATTATGACTTAGCGATAATTATACTAAATGAGGAATAATTAGAAGAAATGAGCAGTAATAAATCCGAGCAGAACATAAAATGTATATAAAAAGAGCAATAAAAATTTGTTTACTTACAATGGTAAGGGTTTTCTCGTCCTTAGAGTTTATGGCGAAACTGAAGTACAAAATAACTCGCTATTTAATTATGTAAATGGATAGGTTCTACAGGATCTGAGATTTACTAGAGTCTAGCAGATTTTAACAGGGTCTACAGAGTTTAGCAGGACCGAGCATGGTCTTAAAGGGTCTACAGTGTCTAGCAGGATCTCACAGGGTTTAGTAGAGTCTCGATAGTTTCCAAGGGTCTAGCACGATCGAGCATGGTCTAGAAGGGTCAACAGAGTCTAGCAGGATCTACAGAATCTAGCAGTGTTTACAATATCCACCGGGATCCAAAGGACCTACAAGAGTCTGGCAGAGTGCATAGGATCGCGCGGGATCTATGAAGGTCTGGCAATGTTTTATGTGACGTCGATATTTAGTAATGAGAGAAGATTCTAATCTGTAATCCCACTGTCCTTATATAGTTAGTGTCATTCACCTCGGTTTTGCAATCTTTAAGGGTCTTCTCGTGCTTGACAGATATGCGAAAATTGGTATCTTGACTATATTACAGCGTTGAAAACCTCTACCTAAGGCAAAATAGTGAAAATTTGTTCGAAAAGAAAAAGAGACAGACCATTGAAAGCAAATATACTATTCGTACGATGATCAGTTATATATATTTTA